GGAATCTAACAATGCCTTAGAAAAAAATGTTAATCTTAAAATGAAGCATATACATAAACCCTATCGAATAAGCATGTTATAAACTTCTGAAACATTGGTGTTTCATATTTTAGAGCAGTCACTGCAATTTATGTAAGAACTCAATTAAATCTGTATGTGGGAGTGTGTGGAAAAAAATCAGATGTAAACCCCCTTTGTAATTCTTAACATTTTCATAAGTAACTGTAATTTAATTACACATTTTTTCTTAACTGTAACTGATTACAATTACTGTTTTGTAATTACATTTCGTAATTCCGTTACATGTAACTAGTTACTCCCCAACACTGACTATGATGCAGTGATGTTTTCAGACTGTGAAAAAGCAGTGCAGTTAATTGTATTCAGTGTACTTCAGTCTTAAATGTATATTAAAACTGTATTTGCAGATAATAGAATATTAATTAAATGGCCACTTAAATGCACTTCAAGAGAGAGTACTCTTTTATCACTGTTTCTTAACACACTCAAGTACACTTTAAAAGTACACTGTGCAGTAACGTCAAATTACAAGTTTTAATTGGTGTATTTTAAAAAATTGTTTTAATAATCTTTTGTTGAGCTTTAAAAAAGTACACTTATTTTGATGTGCTGACTAACATACTAAAGTTATAATTTAACCATAGTGTGTTGTTCAATTTTACATTTAAAATGAATACATATTCACTAAACTGCAATTTCGCCATTAAAAATTTATAATTGCAAATACATGACACTCAAGTTTCGATACAAATTACTTTAAATATATATTTTAGTTTACTATAAGTGCCTATTACATTTGGCAGTACACTTTAACCATATTTCACTTTAACCATATTTCAAAGACAATATAAGTAATTATGAAATTACATGTAAAGATGTACTTAAGTGGGTTGAAAAAAACACTTTTAAGTTAATCTAATTGCATTTAATATAAATTTAAATTAGAATACATCTTCAACACGTTCTTAGAATTAGAATGTCTGATCAAATTATTATACCCGATCAGATCTAACATAAATAACACAAAATTCGCTGTTGTTGGCACACTTTTTAGACAAAAAAAATGCCTTCACAAAAAAAGAAGACCGCTAAAGATCCGCTGATTCCGCTAATCCGCTCCGTGTTTTCCCGCCCGCTCCGCAGTATCACTCACAATCGGTGTGCCGATTCTGGAGTGCAGACCACAGTTTCCGAAGGTCGTTCATTAACATGTAGATGCATTACAATCCACATTACAGTCAGTGGATGATTCGTTGAATTAAAAATTTTTTTTTTTTTTTTTTGTATTTCTGTCGGTAAAGTGATTAAAAGTGATTACAACAA